GAAACAATACAGAAACAATACACAATAACACCCTAGATGCCTTAAAATATCCCTTTGCTAATTCAGATCCCTGGCTCATGGCCAACCTCAGGCAGATTTCTCTCTTTAGCACACAGCGTTTCAGGAGCTGATTAGGTAAACAAACTAACTAATATGATGAATGCGGATAACAAGGACACACTGAGTCTCACATCCTTTTGCAAAATGAGAGGTTCCTCCTACTACAATTTTTTTCCTGCATCATTAATAACCCCAAGAAGTATCGGTCATTGTTTGTGATTCGGAGGAGGAAACTGGCAGGAATAACCTTGCCAGGCTTGACTCTGAAATGCTGCAAGCCTGGGGTCCAGCGCAGGGGGCCTCTGCTTTTACTGCTTTGGGCAGTGGGCACTGAGGGAGAGAATTAGATGGTGATTAAGGTTGGAAACATCCCCATTTCCAAGGCTTTGCAATACTGCTGATTTTGGTAAGGATGCCTCAGAAGGCTGGACATGTGGAACAAGGATCCAGGAGATGACATTGAAGGTGCTGGCATTTGCTGCTATCTTGTCTGTGGCTGCTCTTGGAGGAGATAGTGTCAGTGTGACATGGCCAATGGGGTTAGAGAATGTGGTGCTCAGCCAGAGAAGATAGGGACCAGAAGATAGGGATTGATTTGATAGGCAGATCCTCTCTAAGCAAGGTGATATGTTACCATCCCCTATTTGCCTGCTTCATACTGAGAACAGGTTTTGCAAGGTGATTAGTTTTGGTCTTGCAGCTTTTTTATGCCTAGAGGACCAAACTCCATGGATATGGAAGAGCCTGCAGTATCTGCAGGGTGTGCAGGCTTGCAGCATGCAATGTGCAGCATCATCAGACCCTGCTGCAGGTGCATGGAGGCTGTCTGGCAGCCTTGTCATGCTTGGCTGCTGCCTCCAGCTCGGCCACGGCAGTGACCACCCCAAATCCAGCCCTTGGTGGGACAAGGGTGGCACTTGTGGGGCCTCGGGAGCAGCCCAGGAGAGGGCTTTGGGCTGCTAAACAGCAAATGTGTGTGCATGGCCTGAACTTAGATGCTAACGCATCTGGTGGATAGCAAGACAAACCTGCCCTCTGTACATTCTTGACCATTTTTTGAGGATAGGGTTCCTGGAACAAGCTTCCCATGTTTCACAGAGGGTGCTCTGTGATAGTAAAAAAAACCTGTAAATCATCTTAAGATGTAGCACATTGCTCCAAAAGACACCTCTGCTCGTGAGATTGTGATAGCTTTGCACAAACACCTGGTGCACTTCCGTCTGAAATCCTCCAGGGGTTTTCACCACTGCCTGTGAAGTGTGGAAGGACAAACACAACCTTTTCACCATGCCCTGGGCTGTGCAATGGGGAACCAGATGAAAGCAAGTGAGGAGGAAAGTGTGCGGTACACAGCCACATCAATATAGCATTTCCCAAGGCTGAGCCAACCCATGTGATGGGAAGGGTCAGGACCAAATGTGGACAAACCTAAACAATGCTTGAAGCAGGCTGAATTTTACAGAGCTGGAGGAAGTTACAGAGAAGGTATCTCCAAGCAAAGACAACAAGCAGCTGAAGAAGACACAGAATACCAAAACTGCGAGTAATTGTCTATGTAAGGGTGAAACTCCCTCCAGTCAAGGGAGGAAAAGTGAGGTGCCAATAATAAATAACCGTATATTTGAAAGTTGTGGCTGATGTACCAACAAAGCTGAAAATACCTCAGAATTACAACAAAACAGTGCATAATTCAGCTCAGAATTAAGGCACAGGAAAATTTTGGTAACATGTCAAGACAGCTGAAGAGAGCAGTGAGATCTCCTCCCAGAAGAAAGTCCCACGGATGGAGGCATCTGAATGAAGGCAAAATCCCAAGAATGGGCCCTGGGGAATAATTCTGCTGATCTGAAATGATGTGGGGGCTGCCAGTGCTGTGCTGGAGCTCTTCCCTTTGAGCTCCTTGGGTTGGGCTGGTGACAGAGGTGCTGGGCTGGGGTCTGATCCCAGCAATATTCAGTACCGGGCACCATTGGTTTCACTCAACTCCATGGCTGAGATGAAGATATGGCTCTTGGTGTTAAAGCAAGATGTTCAGTCCTCCTAATTTCTGTTCTGCTAGAAATTCTGGGATTTCAAACTTTCCTTTTTTCCGAGTCAAAACCAAGAAAAAATTCTCATCAAATGACAAAAAATGGTTTGGAAAATCTCAGAACAATCTTACCAAGGTGTTGATGTCATTTTGATTTTCCCAGTTGGCTTTAAAGCATAGATTTTGCATGTTTTAGGCAGCCAAGATTAAAATACAGCATTCAGAAGAAAGCCATAGATAATTTTGATTACATTTCCACTGGCCAGACGCAGTTTTTCCTGTGCGATTGAATCAGCATTTTTTGATTGAAAATTTTCCACCCGTTCTAGTTAGAATTGTTCTGGCAGCTGGCAAAGCTTCTGCTGGCTCCAGCATTTGTGTGACCCTGCCATGGGGAAGGGGATGCTCCAAGGCAATGGGTTTAGTGGCAGTGGGCAGTGCTGGGGCAGGCTGAGTCCTGGCCAGGGAGGAGGACAGGGGAGCATGAGGCATAGGGGAAGATGTTCGGAGCATCAAGGCAGGAGGAAGGGCAAAGGGAAAAGTATTAAAAGCATCAGTGAAGAGGCACCTGGCTAAAAGAAGATTTAGAAGAGTTTAAGAAATTGCCTACTTGATAGAAAAACCTGTTCCTGGCTGAAATCCCAGATGTGGCAACTGGTGACAAAGACAGCTGCACAGAGCTGAGCCGTGCAAGCTGCTCTGGGCACACAGAAAGGTGTCCCTGCAGATTCAAAACCAGGCAGATCTGCAGGTGTCATCTCTTGGGTTGTGCAGGAATTTCTCCCTGAAGCCAAGAGAGATGGGGAGCAGCTCTGCAGTGAGGCAAGTAACAGCATTGGCTTACCCAGGGCAGAACAGGCAGGATCCCTCTCTTGGCCCTGGTGGGTCGAGCTGCCCACTTGCACCATGCAGGTGTCAGGGCAGGGGGGGCTGCCCTGCCACCCCTGTTTGGTGGCTGAGTTTGTGGACCTGAGGTTTAACATGCTGAGGTTGGAGAGGGAGTGAGCCAGTCCCCTCCAGCTCTGCCCTCGGGGCTCTGGCAGTGGAAGGAGCACTTGGCCTGAAGCGAGAGACCCTGCCAGCATCCTGCTGACTGCACCACCAAGCAAAGCCGTGTGTTCAGTGGGCAGGGAGGAGTAAGCAGAAAGAGGCTGTGCCCTCCTGAGGGCCCTTGCTCAGACTCCAGTGGATTTGCAGCCATCCGTGGTCCGGAGGCTACATGTCAGCAGTGTGAAGGTGTAAATCAGACTGTTTATCATGCAGAGATGACGTGTGGTGAAACAGCCTGGGTGTAAAATCCTCTGTGACATGCACAGAGTGTCTTCTGCTGGGAGAAGCTGGGATCACAGCCACTGGGACCATCACCCCACCCAGCTCGCAGGGCTCTCTGCAGGGCTAGGGTCCCAGGAACGGCCAAGGCTGGCTGTCACCAGTGCTAGTGAGCCACCTGCCTACCCTGCAGCTCTGTCTCCATAAGGATTTGGCGCTGGTCAATCCTACCTTGCCATCATCTGCAGCATCAGCCTCATGGTTCCCAAGGCAGAGCTGGGGGTCTGCCCCAGTCCCCCAGTGCTCCCCACTGCAGCCCGAGGTCCCCTACGGCTACGGGCAGTGAGGAGAAGAGAGGGTTAAGCTGTCAGCTCTCTAATGTTAAACAGGTGTCAAAGGCACCTCCATATATCTGCAGATTGAAATCAAATTCTTTGCAGTATAAAAAGATAAATTACCCAGGCGATTCCCGCCTCATCCCACTCATCAGGCCAGCGCCAGACGGCAAGCAATTTTTTTTTTTAATGTGCTAACGACCTAATCAAGCAATCAAGTCGGAGAAGATTGCGGAGTGACCCCGAGCATCCATCTGCCAGAGAGACCCCGCCATTCATTTCCATTCTGCCGTGTACTTTCCGGGAAAGGGAGGGAAAAAAATAGAAAAGGAAAAAAAAAATCCTAAACAAATTAACACCCAATTTTCTGTGAGTCTAATTAGTTAAATGAGGAGGTGTTTGGGGTGTCCGTGGGGAAGGAGGGGCTGCCTCTCGGAGAGGGGCCTGGTAACTCCGTGGCATTAATTAGCGCAGGTCAATGGCGTTGTTCCCTGGGGACCAGCTGCTTTAATTTCCCGTGATATTTCAGTGCCTGAGGCCCATCGATTCAAACTGAAATTAACTTATTTTTCAATCAGGCCTGGGCTGCCCCTGGGGCTGACTCTTCCTTTGCCTCCTTCTGAATAGACCTCAAGCAATTTTTCATCTAAAGCTGATGCCTCTGCTTGGCGGGAAGGGAGGGGGGCCGGGGAGAGAGGAGGGTGAGGGAGACAAGAGGAATGGAAATCGGAGAGAGCGCTAATAGATTTCTGTGAGCATCACCCCCTCCACCATCGCCACCCGCCTCCCTCCTCGCTGCCCCCCAGGTCACAGCTCAGAGATTATTCTGCCAATTTTCCGAGAAGATGAGGGGCTTTTCAAACTGGGAATTCAGGGAGAAGCACACGGATCAGCTCCCCCACATCTCCCGCCTCCCCTGAGCATCCGCCCCCATCCCAGCCCTCCCTGCAGGCACCGCTGCCCGCAGCCCCTCGCCGCAGCTCAGACACCCAGTAAATAATGAAAGAAAATCCCAGGCACGAGAGCCAAAAACCTCTAGAAAAAGACACCGTGATGGCAAATTAATTACATCCTGCGGAGAGGAAAGGGACCTGCTCTCACGCTTGGTCCTCACCGCTCCTGCAGGGGAGGGAGGAAGACACCCGGCAGCTGCTGCGTGGGGGAAGAGGTCGCGGTGCTTTTGGGATGAGCATCCACGTGTCTGCCTTCATCCGACTGCACAAGCAAACACGTGTTCTCATGCAAGAGGGGGACTGACACACTTTCTCTCCCTAAAAACCTGTGTCCCTCTTTGTCGCCTGCCCCAGGTTTGGTTCCAGAACCGCCGGGCCAAATGGCGGAAGAGGGAGAAGTGCTGGGGCAGGAGCAGTGTGATGGCCGAGTACGGGCTCTACGGTGCCATGGTGCGTCACTCCATCCCGCTGCCCGAGTCCATCCTCAAGTCTGCCAAGGATGGCATCATGGAGTCCTGCGCCCCGTGGCTCCTGGGTAAGAGAGCAGCTGCCTTCGTGGGGGATGGTGAGTGGGTCAAGACAAAGTGGGGGGAATGCAAGGAAGAAACTGGAGCCGTGTTAAAAACACAGGTGGAGGGTGGTGGGGCAAGGTCCCCCTGCCCTGCTGCTCTCCACCCTCTCGACCCCTAATGGTCCTCATCAATATGGTCTGACTGCTCATCCCAAATCACTGCTGGTCCTTGGATTCTGACCTGCAGGATCTGACCAAGACAGGGAATTTGCTCCCCATGCTCAGGCTGGTGTTAGCCTTCGACTGCCATGGAAATATCCCTTGTGCCCAATCCTAGAGCAGAGGCTTCAACCCTTGCTCAAGGCAGGAGGTCATCCCAGTCTGACTCTTCCAGCTCTGTGAATGCTTGTGTGGAGTGCCAGGACCCCCAGATGAACTCTCCCTACCCCCAGTTCCAGGGAGAACACACTGCTGGCTCCTCCTACTCTCAGCACCTGGGGGAGCTGCATTTTTGCCTGGTTGCTCTTAGTTTTCTGTGCAGACATGGAGGTGGTAGCTACCCTACCATGCTCTTGCTCTTTGCTTCCTGCTTTCCGACCTTTCAAGCTGGTTCTGCCCCAGAACTAGTGTCTGGCATCTTGAAAATGGGCTGTCCTGTCCTTTTATCTGTGTGAAACAGAGAGGCAGAGGGGTGGGTTGTGTGAGGAGGGGGTTGATACAGGAATAGGCAATGAGGGATCTCCCTCCCTAGCCTTGATGAAGCTCAGGTGACTGTGCTGCTATCTGAGACCCTCATACCCGTGTAGGGACAAGTTAGCTTTAGGTTCATGGAAGGAAGTTAAGGGGAGAGTAATTACAGACCTTTGGGGCAGCCCTGAGGCTAAGGATGCCATGGCAGGGCTGAGAGGGGGGCCAGAGCGAGTGGCTCGCTGTGACTGCTGCATGAAGCGAGGGTTTCTGCTTTTCCTTAATTCTGGCCTCTCTTTATCTTTGCTGTTTTCAGTTCAAGATGGCTTTCCCATGCCCAGGCGCTTTTCTAAACCCGAATACCAACAATTCTTTTTAGGGATGCACAAAAAGTCTCTGGAGGCAGCGGCTGAGGCGGGGAGGAAGACGGAGGTGGAGCGCCAGGCCCTGCCCAAGCTTGACAAGGGTGACAAAGAAGAGAGGGGCCCGGATCCCAAAACCACCATTTCCCAGGAGGAACTGAGAGAAAACAGCATTGCCGCCCTCAGGGCCAAAGCTCAGGAGCACAGCACCAAAGTCCTGGGGACCATTGCTGGGGACACCCCAGCCCCCAGCAGAAAGCCTGAGACAGGGGAGGAGGCAGCAGCGGCGGAGGACGAGAGACAGACGGAGAAGTTGAACTCGTCGCAGAAGGAAGAGAAGTTGATGTAGGGGGGGAAGAGGCGGCAGAAGCCAGTCCTGACAGACACTGTGTCCTCCGGGGGTCGTGTTCCCCCCTGGACTTGCCAGGCCCCCCTGGACACCCCTGCCCGGGGAGCGGGGCCCCAGTCTATGCGTTTGCGGCTGCCTGGCAGGGGTGACCCCTACCTGCTCCCCTTGAGCATACCCCTGCCCCTTGCTCCTCCATCCTGCTGGGCCTTCCTCACACCCCCACCCCTTGCTTTTGGGGGACCAGGAAGTGTCCCATCATCGTCGCCCACATGAGAGGACACCGAGATTTTGGGTCTCTCTGGCCTCACAACCAGCTCTGTGGCTTTCTCCTCCTGCTCCAGCCCCAGACCCCATCTGCCATCCTGGAGCAAGCCTGTCCCCTGCTGCCATGCCCCTCCTCGGTGCATGTCTCTCCCCTGTGCTGCCTGGGTCCCTTCCCCTGCTGCCCCATCCTGCTGTGCCCCAGGCAGACCTGACACCTTCCTGCAGCCATCACCTCTGCCTCTGGCCCAGGCTGCAGCAGGACAGGCCCATGCCAGTGTTTGCATGAAATGGCGACTCTCCATCCAGGGTGGTTTGCATCTTCCGCCTGTCTACCCCCGCCTGGTGCTGGAGTCTGCCATGAAGGGACTGCAGCTTTACAGTGGCTGAGTTTTGCCTCCATTTGGCAGGACAAGGCAAGTTTAGCTCATAGGCGTGACACCCTGGTGCCTCATGGCACCTTGAGGTGACCCCAGCTCATGCTGCTGGCTCCCACAGGGCTGGCCACCACAGCTGGGTCTGACTCTGTCCTAAACGCCAAAGCTCTGCACCCCTGCAGAGGGGCCGAATGGTGAATTTATTTACTGAATACGTTATTCCAGGCGAGACAACAACACACGCCCAATGTATTTATTGAATTAAATTTGTCCAGCTCACCCTCTGAGTGTTAAAGGGAATGACAGCCATGCACTTCCCCTCCAATACACCCCATAACAGGTACATACGTCTCCCAGCTGGCCCCACATGAGCACACGCAGACCCACGCAACCAAACCCACTCTGTGGTACCATCACCTTCCCATCCCAGTAAGGCGCTATTCTCCCCCCGGAAGCTGTAGGACAGTGACTTCCAGGCAACCCTTTCTGTCCTGCTTTCAGCTGTGAGCACCCTTTCCCCAGAGCTACTGTTTTTCTTCCGTCAAAGGTTAAGCCTCTTCATCCAGCCCGTTTGTCTTTGTCCCCCAGTCGTTTGACGTGTTAGATGATAGCCCATGGTGTGTAAATAATGTATATACAGTGAGAAAAGAATTCAGTATTGAGGTGTTTGAGATATGGAGCTGTAACAACTTCTAGTCATCCAGCATCTGTGATTTATGTGCCATTTTCTGTAAAGATATGAACAAGAATAAAACTAAACTGGAATACTGTGTATGAGTCCAATCACCTGTGTTCAAGGAGGGTGAATTCAGCCAAAGCTAAGAGGGGTTGGACATCAGACTGTAGCCAGAAAGAGGTGGGAGCAGCACAGAGAGAGGCCTGCACCTTCCTCCCCACCCAGGTATGGAGAAGAATAGGTTTGGGTGCTGGTCTCCCTTTGTGGTGAAAGGCAAAGCTGAAGGGGGTGTGTCTGTGCTTGAGGCTGATGTTCAGTGTGATGGCATGGATCTGATTAGAGAGCAAGTCACTTCAGCATCCAGAACAGCCCTGGTGCTTTGAGTGACCCCACGTCACAGACGCCCTGGCATCAGAGAGCTGGGCAGACCTTTGGGCAGGCTCACTCCCTCTGCAGGGCCAAGCTGGCCTGAGGAGTGGAGGGAGCTTGGTGAGAGGGAGCGGCACCAACAGGGATTTCCAGCAATGAGAGCTGGATTTGAGAGCAGCGGGAGCCCATATCGAGTTACCAGAGCAGGAAATGAGATTCACGTGCCCTACTAATGGCATCTGTGGATGGTCTGATGGAAAAACCTGATGCCTTACAGGGGAAAAAGGGTGAGGCAGAGCAGACAGACATGAGAGACTTCACCTGTGGAACAGTGAGACTGCTTGTGCTTGACTTTGTGGAGGAGCTGCAAGCCCACAGGACTGCATTTCCCTAGGGGGACATAGCCTGTGTAGGTCCTCACCTACACCCTCTGGGGGTAGCTCTGATGCAAAACCAAGTGTGCGGTTTGGGCTGAGTGCATCTACCTTCAAATAGTGCCCATCACCCATACTGGTGTTCAGCCTGTGCACCAAACATACCAGCCCTGCAGGCCACAAGTGGTGTCACACTGTGAAGAGCAGAGAGGAGATCTACCAACCTTTTCCTCCTGCTGTTGATCCCATCGGTGTGCCTGGCTGAGCACAGCACTGCTTGCAGGCGGAACCTTATTCTGCTCTGCTCTTGTGCCCTCTGGGAAAGGAGGATAACCTGGTCAATACAATTAAGGAAATCTGCAAGCTCTGCCTTAAAAAAAACACCATCCTTGTAAGGCCTGAAGAAAAGGCAGGCAGAAAAAAAAGCTGTTTGGAGGCAAAGAGGCAGCTTAGCTTTGCTATAGTGAGTGGTGGGAGGTCTTTCATGGCAAGCCACCACCTTCTGCTCCACCATGGCCTTGATTAGTGCTCCCAGTCCAGCCTGTGGTTCAGAGCAGTCTGAGGTGTTTGGAGGAGGCAGAGAGTTCAGCCCAGCTCGCTGGAGGGGACAGCCCTGACAGCTGCCCAGCAATGGGGTGCAATGGGATGTGATATCCCCCTCTTGCAGCTGACAGTCAGAGGAGAAAATCCTTCCTTGGCCTCCCAGTTACACCACCATCTAGTGCCTTGCACGGGATGGGCCTTAATTCTGGGAAGGGGCCGATCCTATCACCCAAGGATAGCACAGAGGGGACCCCAACTTTCACACGTGAGCTGCTCCAGGTTGCCCTTGTGACCAGCTGAGGATCAGGGGGCTGCAGTGGGGGGCTGTGGGGAGTGAGGGGATGGGTATGAGGGGAGAGAGGTGAGCAAGGGTGAAGCAGAGAGGTCCAGGGACTCAGTGCAGCCCTGGACAAGTGGGAGTGGGAGCAGGCTAGTGCAGCCTGGCTTGGGCACCTCAGTCCCCGCAGGGTTCCCAGGCACACGCTGAACCTGGCTGCGGTTCAAGAGCGGCTGTCAGGACTCAAATTAGCATGAAGGTTATTTTCAGTCAAACATTTCTACGGCCCACCCCTTTTCCCTCCCTTAAACGGATTGGATTTCTTTTCCCTCTAGTGCTCTGGGAGCGAGGAGGAGAGGAGCGAGGTGGGGGACAAGGGGCGCCCCGGCTCCCTGCACAGGGGAGCTTTGTGCCCAGTTGGCTCAGGGCGACATAGCCCCAGCTCCCACGGGGGCACATCTTTCCTGGACTGAGTGTCTGAGTGGCAACAAGGGCTCCAGGCACATACATCTCCTCGGTGAGAGACAGGCGCCCCATGATGATGGCCAGGCTGCTGGCCAGGGCTTGCTGCCCTAAAGCTTTTCCTCAGGCTCCCAGATATCCCCCTGGGTTGGCAGCTGCCCGAGCCTGGAGCCATGGGCCCCTCACTGCCTACATGCCTGAAGCCACTGCCTTTCTTGGACCCAAGGACCACCAGGACTTGTACAAGGTGTCGGTGGAACAAGGGGACGCCTTCTGGGGAGCGCTAGGGAGGAGCCGGCTTACCTGGATCACCCCCTTCCACTCCGTCCAGGACTGCGACCTGCGCCAGGGCAGGGTCTCCTGGTTCCAGGGTGGGCAGCTGAACGTGGCAGGTAAGGAAAAGAGGGAGAGGGACATGGGAGCCCATCAAGTGCCGGTGGGTATCTCTCTGTGAAGCGCTGTTGGTCCAAATTATGAGACAGACCTCTCAGAAATCAGGCCTTACGTGGTCCATTTGGGCAAGAGAATGGGAGTTATTTGCCTTTGGGATTTGAGAGCTTATTCTTCCTCCTTTTGTGTTTGTTTCTTTTCCTCCTCGAAAACTACAAATGGCCAGGAGAAAAAAGGCATTTTGGTATGCAAAGTGAGGCTGCTGCACTGTCCCATGACCTCAGTAGCAGGTTTAAGGAAAGCACAGAGTGGAACGAAGTTTCTGAGGAAACCGCAGCTGCCAGCAATGCAGGAAACTTTTCTCAGAAGAATTACAGCCAAAGCCTCAGCCTACCACGTCCCTGGAAAGCCAGGGGCTGTGCACTCCTGGCCCTGCCTCTCTCCCATCTTGGACAAATGCACCCTGCAGTCTTCCTGCAGAAGCTTCGCTTCATCCTATATTTGTTATATTTAGGAGCATCGCTTCTAAAAAACTGCCCCAGTCTGCCCCAGAAGCAGCTGGAAGGCGGTGCTGAGTGGAGTGATGGCTGAGTTAATGTTTGCCAGGCCCGCAGAAGGCACTGGGGATGTGACCTCCAAAGGGACTGCGGGGAGTTTCTGCTCCCAACTGCATTAGGTTGCAATTAGGAGGGAAGCTGACCATGGGGATTGGTGGGTATTGGAGTGGTGAGGAGTGTAACAGGTTTGGGAAGGTGCTAGTGATCTACTGGCTGGTATCCATGAAGGATGTTTCAGTGGATGCACAAGGCTGATGCTGAGGAGACTCACACATAGCCCTGACTCTGATCTGAAAACAGGACTGCCAGTGCTGGCTTTGTGGGAATTAAGGGGTACTGAGGGCTGCTCTGGCAATGAGACTGGGTCATCTTTTCCAGTGAACTGTCTGGATCGACATGTCCACGTAGACCCAGACAAAGTGGCCTTAATCTGGGAGAAGGATGAACCAGGAAAGGAGGTACAGGTCACATACAGGTCAGTACTTACCTCTGAACATATGTGAGAAATGTATTGCAGCGTGCATGAACACTTCACAGGGGTTATCTGCTGGTGGGCATCATATGAGAGGATGCAGCATCCCTCTGGGTAGGTAGATCAACAGGATGGTGGCTGCTGACTTGCCTCTGCTGATGTGGGGACTTCAGCCCACCTCCTGATTAACCTTCTGGACCCCAAGGGGTCCCTAACCACATGTGGAGGCAGACGCAAGCTCCTTGTGACAGCACTGCAATGTTTGTAGGTAAGATCCCATGGGAAAGTC